TGTTGTTATCAATCCCCACTGGTTCTTTGGATCTTTCTGCCTCCTCTTCTGCATAATTCCCTCAGTCCTGAGTGAAGGAATTTAATGAAGATATCCATTTAGGACTGAGTGTTCCAAGGTCTCTCAGTCTCTGTGCATTGTCCAGTTGTGAGTTGTTTCCATCTACCTCAAGGTGAAACTGATGATGAATGAACAAGACACTGATATAGTAGACTGTCTTTAGGAATCATTGTATTGCTTTGTTCCTTCAGCAGAACAATAGTATTTCATTTTCCCATAGGCCTATAGCCTATTTGTTCAGCACACAACTTAAAATCAGAGACTCCACCAACCCTTCCATCCTATCCAAATCTCTTCTGTCAACTACAGATTTTTTTTTGTTTTTTTGTCCATAAAGTTCCCACATGTCCTGTGTTTTCTCTGCCAGTCTCTGTTTTGCATCACAGCTCCATGAGGACAGGAATGGTTGCCTTCTTTTCACAGACTCTTCTGACTTTCAGCTTTTATACTTCTCAGTTGCATCAATGTGTTCCCTGATGTCTCTGTTTCATTCAGGGCCATAAAAGTACAAGTGTGAGCATTAGTATAGCATACATACTCTCAGCACTGGAGTGGATTATAAGTTTGAAGAGTTGTGTTTCATACTTATATTTTTTAAGTGGAAGTTTGGTCTACTTTTGAAATTTGGTCATGAGAAGGTCCAGAAAAGCTATTTTACACTATCATTTTTGCCCTATCGTGTAGTTCTGTCCAGTGTATCACACGAGTCTTTAAAAAATAACTTGATGATAGTGTCCTGGCACCATTACAGATGTTTCCTATTTGAAGTCTTCCAGGGAAGAATGTTGAATTTCTTTACAGAGCTTCTCAAATTTTACTATAAAATATAATGTAACAGAGTATATATTATCATTATATATAGAAAGCCCTCTTTATTTCTATTTTCTGTTATAAGATTTTTATTTTAAATTCAATAAGTTATCCTAAAACTCACCATGTCTAAATGCAAATGCAATATTTTTAGTCTCTTCCCTATCACAGTTCCACACATTTTTAATTGATTTTTTCAGTTTTTTATTTAAATACATTTTAATATTTTTACATATTGATCCCAGTTCCCCCTCCCTCCCATGACCCCAGACTCCTCCTCCCATCTCATTTCCCACCCACTCCACAGGGAGGGTGAGGCCTCCCAGGAGGGATCATTAAAATCTGTCAAATCATTAAAAGTAGGGTCTAGGCCCTCCATCCTGTCTCTAGGCTAAGGGAGTATCTTTCCATGGGGGATGTGTTCGCAAGGTCCTTTTGTGCAGCAGGAATACATCCTGCTTCCACTGTCAGAGGTCCCTTTGACTGCCCAGGCCTTCTAACTGAGGCCCATGTTCAGGGGGCCTGAGTAGGTCCAATGCTGGTTTCCCACCTATCAGTCTAGGGGTTCATGAGCTCCCCCTTGTTCAGGTCAGCTGCTTTTGTGAGTTTCTATAGCCTGGTCTTGACCCTTTTTATCATCACTACTTCCTCTTTGCAAGTGGATTCCAGGAGTTCGGCTCATTGTTTAGCTGTGGGTGTATGCTTCTGTTTCCAACAGCTGCTACATGAAAGTTCTAGATGACATATAAGTTAGTCGTCAATCTCATTATCAGGAAAGGGCATTTAAGGTGGCCTTTCCACTGTTGCTCAGATTGTTAGTTGGGGTCATTCTTGTAGGTCTCTGAACATTTCTCTAGAGTCAGTTTTCTCTTCAAACCTATAATGGCTCCCTCTCTCTCTCTCTCTCTCTCTTCCTCTCTCTTTCTCTCTCCCCCCCTCTCTCTCTGCCTCCACTATTTGTTCCCTGACTCAATTTTCCTGGTCCCTCATGTTCTTCTCCCCTTCTCTTTCTCCTAACTCCCTCTCCACTCACTGCCCCCCCCCACCCACATATGCTCAGGAGATCTTGTCCCTTTCCTCTTCTGTGAAGGACCTTGTATGAATCTCTTAGGTTCCTCCTTGTAGCCTGGTTTCTCTGGTAGTGTGAATTATAGGCTGGTGATCCTTTGCTCTATGTCTAAAGTACACACATGAGTGAGTACATACCATGTTCCTCTTTTTGTGACTTGGTTACCTCACTCAGGATGGTTTCTTCAAGTTACACCCATTTGCCTGTGAATTTCAAAATTCCATTGTTTTTTCCACTGAGTAGTATTCCATTGTGTAAATGTACCACACCTTCTTTATCTTTCTTCAGTTGAGGGGCATCTAACTTGCTTCCAGGTTCTTGCTATTACAAATAATGCTGCTATGAACATAGCTGAACAGATGTCTTTGCTGCATGGATGTGGATCATTTGGGTAAGAGCAGAATTGCCAGGTCGTATGGTAGACTGGTTCCCATTTTCCTGAGGAACTGCCATACTGATCTCCAAAATGGCTGTACAAGTTTGCACTCCCACCAGCAGTGGAGGAGTGTTTCCCTTTCTCCACATCATCTCCAGCATAAGCTGTCATTGGTATTTCTAATTTTAGCCATTCTGACAGGAGTAAGATGGTATCTCAGAGTTGTTTTGATTTACATTTCCCTGATGGCTAAGGATGTTGAGCACTTTCTTAAGTGTCTTTCAGCCATTTTGGATTCCTCTATTGATGAATAGGGTTATTTGGTGTTTTGGTGATTAGTTTCTTGAGTTCTTTGTATATTTTGGAGATCAACCCTCTGTCAATTGTGGGGTAGGTGAAGATCTTTGCCCAGTCTGTGGGCTGCCATTTGGTCTTTTCAACTGTGTCCTTTGCCTTACAGAAGCTTTTCAGTTTGAGGTGGTCCAGTTTATTAATTGTCGATCTCAGGGTCTGTGCTACTGGTGTTGTGTTCAGGAAGCAGTCTCCTGTACCAGTTCAAGGGTATCTCCCAATTTCTCTTCTAAGAGGTTCAGTGTGGCTGGATTTTTGCTGAGATCTTTGATCCATTTGGACTTGAGTTTGTGCATGGCAATAGACATGGGTCTATCTGCAGTCTTCTACACACCATCATCCAGTTGTGCCAGCATCATTTGTGGAAGATGCTTTCTTCCTTCCATTGTATACTTTTAGCTGTTTTGTCACAACTCAAGTGTTCATAGGTGTGTGAGTTAATATCAGGATTTTTTTCTTTGTTAAGTTTCTGTCTGGTGGTGAGAGTGGGGTGTTGAAGTCTCCCACTACAAGTGTGTGAGGTTTTATGTGAGCTTTGAGTTTTAGTAGTGTTTCTTTTACAAATGTGGGTCCCATTGTATATGAGGCAAAGATGTTCAGAATTGAGACTTTGTACTGATTGATTTCTCCTTTGATGAATATGAAATGACCTTCTTCATCTCTTTTGATTGATTTTGATTTGAAGTCTATCTTGTTAGATATTAGGATAGCTATACCTGCTTGCTTCTTGGGTCCATTTGATTGGAAAATCTTTTCCCAACCCTCTACCTTGAGGTAGTGTCTGTCTTTGAAGCTTAGATGTGTTTCTTGTATGCAGCAGAAGGATGGATACTGTCTTCATGTCCATTCTGTTAGCCTTTGTCTTTTTATACACGAGTTAAGGACATTAATATTGAAGGAAAGTAAGGACCATTGATTGTTAATTCTTCTTTGTTTTAGATTTGTTGGTGATGGTGTTACTGTGAGTATATTTGCCCCATTTTTTCTTTTGAGTTCTGGTAAAGTGTGATTATCTTTGTGAGTGAAGTTAACTTCCTTGGATTGGAATATTCCTTCCAGAACTTTCTGTAGGATTGGATTTGTGGATATGTATTTTGAAAATCTGGCTTTGTCACTGAATATCTTGTTTTCTCTGTCTATAGTGACTGAGAATTTTGCTGGGTATATAGCCTTGGCTGGGATCCATGGGTGCTTAGCATTTGTATAACATCTATCCAGAACCTTTTGGCCTTGAGAGTTTCTGTGGAGAAGTCAGGTGTAATTTAGATAGTTCTGCCTTTATATGTTACCTGGCATTTTCCCTTCCTTGCTCTTAATATTTTTTCTTTATTCTGTATGTTAGGTGTTTTGATTATTATGTGGTGAGGAGACTTTTTTTTTTTTTTTTTTTTTTTTTTTTTTTTTTTTGGTTCAGTCTATTTGGTGTTCGACTTTCAAAGGCATGTCCTTCTTCAGATTGGGAAAGTTTTCTTTAATGATGTTGTTGAATATGTTTTCTGCATCTTTGAGCTGGGCTTCTTCAACTTCCATACCAATTATTCTTAGGTTTGGGTTTTTCAAGGTGCCCCATGATTCCTGGATGTTTTGTGTTAGGGATTTATTGGATTTAAAGTTTTCTTTGGAGGATAAATCTATTTCCTTTAGTTTATCTTCAGCGTCTGAGATTCTCTCTTAGATCTCTTGTATTCTGTTGGTTATGCTTGCATCTGTAGTTCCTGATCATTTACCCAGTTTTTCTATTTCCAGCATTGCCTCAGTTTGTGTTTTCTTTATTGTCTCTATTTCAGTTTTTAGGTCTTGAACTGTTTGAATTGTTTCCTTCATCTGTTTAATTGTTTTCTCTTGACTTTCTTTCTTTAAGAAATTTGTTCATTTCTCACATTTTTTGCTTGGCCTTTTTCTCTATTTCTTCCAATTTTTCATTTTTTTTCTTTCATTTCTTTAAGGGATCTTCTCATATAATTTTGAGGTCCTCTATCATTTTTATGAAGTTATTTTTTAAGTCATTCTTTTCTGCTTCATCTGTTTTGTGTGTTCAGGTCTAGTTGCTGTAGAGTCCCTAGATTCTGGTGGTGTTATACTGGTCATTCTATTGTTGGGTGTTTCCTTGTATTCGCCCCTTTCCCATCGCTTCTTCCAGTGGGTCATGGTGGAGTCTCTGTCTCTCTCTACCCTCCTGTCCTGGTGGATGTGGGTGGGTCAGGAGTTCAATGTCTGTAACTCTGGATAATCTGAGCTCTCTTGGGGATCTCTCAAGTAGGGGTCACAGCAGGCCCAATGATGTTGGGAAGGCAGGCTCAGGATGATCTCAAGCACTTAGGTAGAAGGCAGGCGATGGGTTCCAAAGATCAGGTGAGTGCAGGCTCAAGATAATCTTGTGTGGATAGAAGGGGAATTCCAAGAAGCTGGAGGGAGTATTGAACAAACTGGCCAAATGCTCACCCCAAGCAGTGGGTCCAAGGATGAAGGGAAGGTAGGCTCAGGGTGGTGTATGGACAGGAGTACCAGGACTGAACCAGTCAGGCCAAGGTTATAGGGGGGGAGTGAGATGCAGAGCTAATCCAGGGAGTTCCCAGGGAAGGAAGTGGGGGGATTCGACCTGGCCAGGTCCCAGACTCACCACAGGCAGAGAGCAGGTAATGGGACCCAAAGATCAGGTGAGGGCAGGCTCAAGATGATCGAGTGTGGATACATGAGTCTAGTAAGCTCAGAGCCAACCCAGGAAGTTCCAAGGAGATGGTGAGGTATTGGGCCTGCTCTGGCCAAATGCCCACCCCAAGCAGTGGGCCCAGCAGGGCCAAGGATGAGGGGAAGGCAGGCTCTGGGTGGTGTATGGAACAGAGTCAAAGTTCCACACATTTAGAAGTAAAAGTTAAAAGTTAATTAATACTTGCTACTTAGAAATCTTCCTTTAATGTGAGGGTAACAAAACCCAGTCACAGTTACTTGGTTGTAGTTTCAAAGAAATTTTAATTAAAAGATACATATATTTAATTAAAAGATACATATATCTTCATATATATATATATATATTAATTACACACACACACGCACGCATGCATATTCTAATACAATGGAATTACACTTTAACAGCCATCCCAGGAAGGGACCCAATATCCTGCCTTCCCAAGTTTCTACATCAGGTATGGCTTTCCATAGAAATTGCTTGTAGTAGTATATACTGATGGGAGATGTCACTCTGTAAATATGTTTCTCTTATTGCTTGATAAATAAAGCACTGTTGGCCAATAGGAAAAGAAGACAGGGGGGACTAGGAGACAAGGAGGAAAGAGGAAGTAGTAGGGAGGAGTCAGCATGTAGAGACTGGAGAGAACAGAGGTCCAGGCCCACTCTCCAGTAAGATGAGACCACATGGAAATACTTGGATTAATAGAAATGGGTTAATAATTAAGACAGAGCTAGCTGATAAGAAACAAGTAACTGGCCAACAGCATTGTATCAAATACAGAGTCTCTGTGTGTTATTGGGGCTGGCGTGGTGGTATGAACACAGATCGTCGGGAAAAACTTACTCCTTATACTCAATATACTCTCTATTAATTTTGTTAAATATTAGAAAATAAAAGAACCACCATGGTCCCTACTCATTCCAAACTTATATTTACATTTTAATACATGATGAGATAATTTAAAAGATAAATGAAGGGGCCATGGTTAGGTATAAGAAAAGCTTCCTAGCATGTACATAGTCTTAGGTTCTATTCATAGCAACAACGAAAAAGAAAGAAAAATGAAAAGAAAAACGAAAAGACTTCTTGACTGACACATGGACCATAATTGTAAGGGAAAAGGAAACATAAGAGAAAATAATAAGCCTTCTTTGGAAAAGTTTATAAATCTAGGAAACACAAATGGGTCAGTTCTTTCTTCCCTGATTATAAAATGCTGCACACTAAGTAAGTTATGAAGAGTATATATTCATTTTGGCCTATAGTTCTGGTTCAAGATTATGAGGCCATATATAGTCATGGCCTTCTTTCTTCTTGCTGGCAAAATCTGAAGACTGTGTGTAACATTACAAGAAGAGACATGGAGTGATTTTGCATCTGTGTGTGTGTGTTAGAGAGAGAGAGAGAGGGGGGGTGGGAAGGAGAGAGTTACTATTGTTCCATCATCCTTTAATAGCACTGCTCAATAATGAGGGATTAATATTAGTTCATTCTTGGACTGTATCTAATCCTGATCATTGCCGAAGACCCTACCTCTACAAAGACCCACGTCATAGTCCTTCACAAGTGTGATCAAACACCAACACATGAGCTTTGTAAGTAAAAGTCTCATTAAAGCACAGCAATGGACATATTAAAAGTTTTGTGGATGAAGTAAGAAAAACTTTCATCTGTCTCCTCTTCCTCCCTCCCTCAGGACCACCCACTGCTGTCTCTTCCTCAAGTGCCCATCATTCATTCCAGAGAGCTTATTCTGCAAGTATTCAGGCCTTCTTGAGAGTCACCAAGAGGAGAGTCAAAACACATGTTAACAACAGGTCCAAGAACAATTTTTCTAACAACTATGTGATACCATATATGTAAATACAAAAGCACAGCCAAAGAAATTCTTATTTTGGAAAAATAAGCCATAAAAGTATGTGTGTTTTCTGCTTTCAATTTTCTTTCCAGTAATAACACTGTTGCTTCCTTATTTTGCCAAGTAGACAATCATTGGCACAAGATATGCAAGCAAAATTTAAGAGTGAATAGTTTTAAAGTAAGGAAATTCCATTCATGTAACTTTTATCTGCAAGTTAGGAAAAAAAAATCACCATTTGTCAATGACATCAAGGTCAAGCTCAGAGATCCTGTTCACAGGAATTTGGGGGAACTCCTGCTACCCAGGATACACAGGTTGCTCTGCCAATAATAGGTACGATAGTAGAGTCACTCCATAATCAAATGGGATTAGGAAATGTTAGATTAAATGATAAAACCCTATAATTAAGCAATATGATGTATATGTCTTCAGACTAGTCAGCCACTTTAATATATTAATGTACAGTATAAACTTGTAGAAGAAAGCAGTAGCTATGTAATCCTTTGCTTCTGAAACATGCTGTTAAACTGGACATCACAGGAAAGCATTTTCAAGTCACCTGAGAACAGGACTTTAGGGGGAAAATAAGATCCCATTGTAATTTTTCCATAATACAATATGTGTAAATAAATTCATCCTTGTCATACAGGACTTGGAGAAGTTAAGTATAATAACACCCTGGTGACATTGTTTATTAGTTTTCCCTTACGTGGATTTTTCCCTTGGATTTCAATAAGGAAATAACTGTTTGTCAGCTCAGGGACCCAAAGAACAGTTGAAGTTCAGAAAAGAAACTATATAGCCATGAACTGCCCATCCAGTTTATAGTTAGCATGTAATATGCGAAAAACTGAGTGATTACAGACATACATGAAGAGTAATAAATGGTACATATGAACATAAATGTAAAATATATATCTATATAAGACAGAAAAGGGCCAGGCAGTGGTGGCCGACCCCTTTAATCCCAGCACTTGGGAGGCAGAGCAGGCGGATCTTTATGAGTTTGAGGTCAGCCTTGTCTACAGAGCTAGTTCCAGGACAGGCTCCAAAGCTCAGAGAAACCCTGCCTCAAATAAGCATACAAAGACAGAAAGGGGCTGGTCCACTTCCCAGTTCAACATTGACTAAGTATTGAGCACTGCTAAAAATCTGTTAAAAATCAAACTCCCTGTTCCTCTGACTCTTAAAAGCCTTCCATTCTCTCTTCCAAAATGAACCCAGAGTCTTGGGACCAGGGACTGTGCCATAGGGATAGAACTGGGCTCTACAACTCTGCATTTGGACTGGTTTTGTTTTTCTGTAATGGTCTCTGTTGCAAGAAGTTTTCTTGATGAGGAATGAGGACTGTATACTTATCTGTGGATAAGAACAACAATTTCTGGTTGGGAATGATGCTACCAAGCTGAACAGGGACTACACCAACAGACATGCTAACATGGACAGAGCTTGGGGAGCAGGGAGAAGAAGGCTCTGGAGGCCTCAGTCCTACAGAACAATGTACAGGTGAGTAAGGACAGCTGAGAGTGGGAGAGCTAGTCTTCTCCAGGGAAGAGAGCACCAACTGGTCATCCAATACCAAATGCTCAGCCCTGAAAACATACATACACTACACACACATACAAAACAATTAATGAAAAATAGACCATGAATTTGAAAGAGATCAGTGATGGGAATACGGAAAGTTTTGGAAGGAGGAAACCGGGTAAATCATGTGATTGTATTATAAACTCAAAATAATTTAAAAGTCAATTAAAATCGAGGTGTTAGTGACAAATTATTTAAGGTTTTATTATAAACACTTCTGGGGTTAATTTCCCTGGGAAAAGGCAAAGACATTAGGGGATGGAGCAATCTAACACCCTGGGATTGGTTAAAAACACAAAGCTCTGTTTCTTATGTGAGCTGTTCAAACACCCTATTCTCTTAGTGACTCCTCTGGGAGGAATTCGGACTCTGCCTCCCGGGAAGAAGCAACACCAGAGAAAAGTCTTCTTTTTTCTAGTGTTCTTTTCTAGTCTGTTTTTAGTACTGTGGCCTGAGCTGGCGCCATGAAGAGAGTGAAAGCAGGGACAGCAGATCAGGGACAACAGTGAAGGCAGTGGGCAGCCACAGTTAAGCAGTCAGGGCAAGCTGTGAGGGCTGCTTAAGAGCTGAGGAGGAAGCCACTGAACAGTGTGAGCATATCCAGGGCGGGAAGAAGAAAGAGCTGTGGCAGAGAGAGAGACTGAGATGGAGCTGTGGGCGAAGAAAGAAATTTTGTAAAGAGCCAGGGAAGACAAACCAGTTTCTGTTCTCCAGAGTGCCAGGGAGCTGACATGTTTAAGGCCAAGGGTTTGGCCAAGAGCTGTAACACTGGCCTGGCCAAGGTCTAAAGAGTCCTAGTCAGCCCACCTGGAAGCTGCAGTCATTCAGAATTTCCTAGGTCTACAAAGGAGCTATTAGCATTTGTAAAGCCAACACACACTCTGGGGTGGGGGGGGGGGAGGCTGGGATGGCTGAGATACAATTACCCCACCTTCCCCACTACCTCCAAGCTTTGTTATCAAATGCCAAGAGATAAGATCACTACAAAAGACCCTTTGAAAGGCATTTCCCTCCTCCCACACTTATTCCCAGCTGAGAGGGAAAGGCCTCCAGACAGTTGATTGATAACCTGTATACATGTATACAAGTGCATAATATAAACTGAAGAAAATATGTGGTAAATGTGTGTGTGTAAGTATAAAATGTATGAAAATATGTTAGAGAACAGCAGACTATTGAAAATGTTGTCTGCATTTTGAGACTTACAGCCAATCC